CAAGTTGAGGCTAGAATTTCAAGCATTAGTAGCTGACCAACTGACATTTATGGTTGCAGATAGCAGAGATTTCTGTGCTTGAGATGTTGCGACAGTACAGATTTTGCTGCCTGCAACCTCAAGGTACACACAGATCACTTCTTCCCTACCTATCACAACTCTAGAATATAAATCTAGGAGTCAGTTACTGCACCAGGGGCTCAGCTATCCTCTCCCTTGTAAGCACAGCAGTGTTCACGCAGGCAGGTGACCAGACCAAGGAAGTGTTTCAGCTGAAAACCTAGCACAACAAGAGAAGTTTGTTTTTATAGCTGTGTTTCCTGAACCAGCTCACCCTGCCCCTCCAAAAAACATACTGATTTGGCAGCAGAGCTTGCCCACGTGCAAACTGCCCTACTCTGCAACAATCTTGACAGTAGCTTACAGAAAACCTATAAAACATTGCACAGCTGTAAGTAAACACAATTAGACAGATTAGCAGTAGATTTGTAAAATATTAACAATAACAACTATATTTTCCAAGAAACACTAAACCTCCTGAATAACACAAGTTACCAGAACCTCCCAGTAACTCCAACGCTTCCAGAATCTCTCTCCTAGAATATTTTGTTTTAGTTACAGTATCCAAGTGACTAAGAATATAAGGCTTATTCAGTAAATTCACTCTAAACAAAAGAACAACCAATCAATCCAGCCTGCACAAGAAACATGATTCCTATTTTAAACTCATCTAGCACCTACCACCACATGTTATGACTCCATGCACTAAATTAACAAGCATGCCTTTATTTAGTCTTTATTACATTAGCTAGCCATCATATATGATTTCCCCATATTAACAAGAACACAAATTTCTCACACATTTTTGCATCAACAACTGTAACCTTTTAAAGTGAATACAGCTGCTACAAGTGGTGCAAAACCTTTTCAGATAAAGCAATGAGTTGTAAATAAATATCTTTAAAAAATTATTCAGGTTGTCAGTAGACAAAATCCTGAGACTTGGACTTACTTTTTCCTTTTGGTTTGGTTTTCCCTTCTTTCACCTTCGCTCCTGTGATAGCAGCAAGCTCTGCTTCTAGGTCACCATCATCCCCACCTTCCTCTGCACCCAGCAGCATCTCTTCAGGATTGAAATCTACAAACAGCCCCAGCTGGAGCCAAGGGAAAGAAAAAAAGTTGTGCTGTGAGAAAGGAATGACACTCAAAAACATCACACTGCATAGATTAGCTAAACATTTTTTCTTTTTCTTTTTTTTTTTAAGCCAACTATAACATCACTTCATCACCAAAATAACACACACAAGGCATTCGTGACTGAAAAGCAGTACACAAATCTTAATAAGCAATGAATACTCCCTCTAGAAACTCTACATTATCCATGATTTCTAAAAATAAAATCTAATAACTTGCCACAACCAGACAAAATGATGCCTGTTATACTGAGCCCCATTAAGCAGATATCATCAAGGAAGTTCAGGGTAGCTCCTGTAACAACCAGGCTAAAGAAAAATTTAATCACCATTCACAAATACAGGTCTGACATGTGCACAGCAGAGACTTCACCCTTATCTTTTGGAACAAGCTACATTTACATATGCAGAACTATCTTCTACCTCATTAACTCAGCACATAAACAACCAAAAAAAGGCAACGTACACACAGAAACATGACCAATGTCTAATAATACTGGGAAAAACAATCAAGTGTTCAAAATAGATTAGCACTGTAGTTAAGTGACAGCACCTCAGGGAAGACTATTAACAGTACTCAGAATGTGACAGAAGGCTGCTTTTAAATTTTGCAAAACACACCAAAAAAACATAAATATCAGAGAGATCTCTGAAATCTTAATCTGAAAGATGCTATTCTAAAATGCCATTTTGACACAACTGTTCTATTGCTGAAGCATCTATCTGACCCAGGAATAAAAGTGTTCTTGATGTGAAGACTGTGAATGATTTATTTCTAATAAACACCAATTAGCCGAATTCCATTCATCATGTGAGGCACACAGAGCAGCTTTTCTGAGATTTTTTCAAAGCACAAAGCCCTGTTGGTGCACTGATCTTCACAAAGCCAAGCAGGTAGCAGCTCAACTCCTGTCTAGCATCAGAATAAAAAAAAAAGCTACCATTATTACAAAAATTAACAATTTTCCCCTGACTTGGAGGATCTGCAGCGCTGCCAAGGGTTGAAGCTGGCTGTCAGCTTTTCAACTAGTGCTGTTTGGTAATAACGACTTTTATTCTTTAATCCCGTAGGAGCAAAGGTACTGTTGGCTCTTTTATAACCCCAAAGAAGATGGTAAGACATAGCTGAGAAACACTGAGTGCAAGGATCAGGAACAAAGCAGCAGCTGTACGTTTGCTAGCCATGGTCCTGCCCTTGACATTCAGTAAGGTACTGAACTGACAGATGAACTCCCTGCCTGCTTCCATCTTCTATAAAACTAAACTAATTCACTTGTAGGCTTGTATAGAATGGAAAGGTCTAAACAAGATTTAATCAGGAAATGTCTATAACAGTGATCTAAAGACTCAACTTCAACAGAATAGACAGACATATGTTATCAGCATGAAAAACTGATGATTACTGTGCTACAAGCATAGCAAAAAAGAACAGAATCCAGCAGTTCTAGCTCTGAGTCCTCAATCTGATCTGCAAGGCACATTTTCAATGAAGTTACTGCAACAAGTGCATGGTTTTGGCTCTCTCCAACTTCTTCAAGCATTTCTTTAATACCCTCACATGGTTCAGAAATAGCTAAAGTCGCATCATTTGCAAGCGAACAAGCCCTTAGCATATTCAGGAAATAATCCAAGCTGTGAGCTGTAACCATATAGAAATAAAAACTGGTAAAATAGTTTTTAGTCAGATTTTTTTTTTCCTTTTTTAGAGAGAAGGAAAGATATTTCCATCACTTATGTTTTCCCTTCCTTCCAAAAATGTAATTAAACGCTACTCCTCTAACTGAGAAATACAAACGATTGTATTAGAGCAAAAGTGACTTCATAGATCTCTAACAGAACCATTCTGCCTCTGGTTTAAGGATACTGGTTCCAGCAGAACAGAGTAACTTACCTAAGATCCCATTTCAATCTCTTCTCCTATTTCCCTATTTTTGCATCAGCTATTCCTCCAAAGCTTAATCAGCTTCCATTCTAGATCTAACTTATTTTGGAATTTCAGTGAGTGCTCTCTCTCTTCCACCACTTCCATTTCCATATCCACAATGTTGCCTTGATCAAATTTATTTCTTTATGCTTTTCTGAACTTCCCAAGCCTGCTAACCATTACCAGATTCATGCCTCTCTCATCAAGACTTCTGAAACTACATCCAAATGAAACGAGTACGAACAGAACCAACTTGCAGGCACACCTAAGCTCTCAATGATTAAGCAACAGCTACAGAGCAGTGACAGCAGCTAATCAGTCCATCTGTTAAAGGAAGAACAACCTCACAGAAGGAAATAAACTGTTGCTTTACTGTTTTCCCATCTCTGCCCCTGAATTTGTTACTTAATATTCTAGTCTTACTCGTCTAGTTTTACAGGTATGAGAAGAAATTTAATATAGAGACTGAATTTATGATTAAATCTCAAAACAAGTGATTAGGAAACTACCCTAAGTGTGAGTCATAAGGACTGCTACAGAGATTACAGTGTGACAGCACGGCGGCTTCCTCGCAAGGCCGTAATCTATTCACGCTGCCCGTCGCGTTGCTTTAGGAAGAAGGCACTAAAGGAGGAAGCACAAAACAACCCACAGGCAACTGGAAGTAGATCCGAGCCTCCCGCAGGACAGCAGCGAGGTCTGAGCGGGCCGTCCTACCCGCGGCACCCCGGCCCTTCGCCTTCCTCACCTGCTTCGCCACAGCGGCTCCCCGGCCCTTGGCCTGAGGGCTTTTCTTGTGCCTCCTGCCCAGCATGCCGCCGGCGGACCTCAGCGCCGCGTCCCTAAGGGCCGAGCACAACCAAGGAGCGCGGCGTCAGCGCGCCCGGCAGCCTCAAGGCAGCGCCAGCGGGCCGCGACCCCGAGCAACGGCCGCCGGTCCCCTGCCGCGCTCCGTGCCCGCGGGAGCCCCGCCCGGAGGCGGGCGAAGCGGCGGCGCTGCCCCGCTCCCCTCGGCGCAGGGAGGAGCCGGCGGAGGCGACGGGCCGAGCGCCGCTTAATAAGTGACCGCCGCCTCCCGGCCCGGCTCGGCACCCGGCACACCTCCGCCTCGCTCCGCCGCCCCCAGCATGCGGCCCGCCCGGCCCGGGGACGCCTGGGCCGCAGCTCCGGGACGGCGGTGCGCCTGCGCGGTGGGCGGGGCCGGGAGCAGCGCCGGGAGCGGGGCGGGCAGCGCCGTACAGCCGCGGCCTGCAGGGTACCGCGAGGCGCGGGCTGGGCGCGTTGATTTCTAACAGCCCACAGGTGCGGCGGGCGAAGGATTCTGCCAGCTGCAGCTTAAGCCGGGGCATGTTTTATTCACGCAGCACGAACGCAGTTCTCAAGCCGCCCCGTCTCCAGCCCTTGGATACGGGCCTGGGAGCAGCGTCAGGTTGAAGGCAAGTTTCAGGCAGATGGCTGAGGTTTTTTCTTTAAAGCAATTCTCAACTGCTAACATACACAAAGTTGATTAAAAGCAACAAAAGCCCTCGGTCACACGCATAGCTCCCTGGTAGCAATTAATCCATCACGCAACTAATTGAACAGATGTAAAGTTCACTTTCAAGACACAAACAACAAAGATTTAAGGATACCTCAAAGGCATCTTTTGTACTCAACAGAAAAACTAATGCCACAACAACAGGGCTGGTCCCAACAGAAGCAGCTCCACAGGGATAAGCTGAGAAACACTGATGCCAGTAATCAATTCCAGCTCACACACCTCAGCTGGAAGGGGACTGCTTACCAACAGTGCTTTTGAAACAGATTGTTTCATTTCAAGTATTTAAAATGGTCCAAAGCAAGTTCTTTATTGTACAAAGTGCTTTGATACACCACACAAAAATATTTAAAAATACAACCTACTATTTTATCAGTACTTAAAAAAAATAAAATAGACCATCTTTAAAATATTTGTACATATATAGAAATAAAATCTCTATTGCCTTAGTCATCCTTGAGTGCATACATGACATCATCCTGGCTGATGTTGAGGCGCACACGCATGTGAAGGTATTTATTGCTGGACTCCAGCAGCAGCAGCCTGCAGGCACCGAGCCTGGCACAAATGGCCAAGATGTCTGACACTGTTGGGCTCTGCATGCCCTCCATTCTGCACAGTGATATGTGTTGATGATAGACCTGTTAAAGAAGGAAAAAAAGGTGTTAAAAAAGAGGTGTAACTCAAGTTGACCTCCTGCTGCAGTCTATGGGCCAAGGTGAAAAAAGGGAAATTTCCTTCCCTCCTCATCTCTGAATCACAGAATCCACACACAAGGTTGGAAAAGACCTACAAGATCATCCAGTCCAACTGTCCACCCATCACCAATAGTTCTCACTCAACCATATCCCTCAATACAAAATCCAAACATTCCTTCAACACCTCCAGGGTTGGTGACTCCACCACCTCCCTGGGCAGCCCATTCCAGCACCTGACCATTCTTTCAGAAAAGTAGTAACCTAGTCTGTCCACAATTCCACTCCATCATTTGTTACTACACCTTCCCTGGACTATGTGGAATGAAGGTGATCCAGCAGCCCAAGAGCTGATGTACAGCTCATCACCCATCTGTCCACTCAGAAGGAACACACAGAGCAAGTGACCAATAAGGAAAAACTAGGGGAACAAGTATAAGAGATCAGCCTAACAAGATAATCTTTGATGTTCAAGAACAGATTTGCAGATACAGAGGAAAAAAAATTCCTCATGTGAGCCAAACCACTGGTAATGCTAATGGATGTGCACAGGTGTTCCCAATTACAAGTGGTAGCACCAATTATGTTTCACACCTGGGCTGGACAGCCATGTCCCAACTTACCACTGGGACCCAATTTATTATCATATTGTTTTCCACCAGGTTCTACGAATACAAATCCCAAACATTTAAACATTTATAGTGCTGCCTGAGAGTTTTTACAGCGCATTCAAATGTACCTCAAAACAACAACATACCTGTTGAACTGTTGCCTCCTCAACTCCCGCCTGACGAAACTCTGCTAAAATTGCTTTAAAAAAGATTTGTTCGTGCATTGAGGCATTCCTGAACATCAAAACAAAACGGGCAAAAATCAGTCTGCAAAGTTCAGAACTCGTGAGCCCTTAGAAAGAAATCTGGGAGGAAAATCACCTGCTAGCAACACTTAAATGCAGAGTATTTTCCTACCTGACAGTGGAAATATGCAAGACATTTTGTCAAACAGCCAGTGTTACAACCTGCAACCCTGTACAACCCAGGGTTGTACAACCTGCAACCCTGACAATACTGAGCACTGCATCTCACTCCTTTCACTATGTCTGAACAAGACATTTGACTCCATGCAGAATATAAAGCTTAATGGATCAGTTAAGTGCCACACGGTTTGCCAACTGTACAGATCCTTGTTTGTTACAAGCATTCATGTGAGGAATGACACGAGATCAAAAATTAACATGGTAAATCTCTATGAGTTACAGAACTGTGTAATGCCATAATACTGTGAGTGTACTGTGCTGGCAGAACAAGCCTGTACCTCCTTTAATAATTCTGAACCTCTGAAGCTGAAAAAGGCAGAATCCATATTAATATTAATCCATATTAAGGCAGGATCCATATTAATCCATATTAATTTACGAGTTAACAAATTAACATTTTTCAGACACAATACAGTAAACAGGGACAATCATAACATCTCAAAATCCCTGAGGGAAAGGCTAAAATGGAAACATTTAACTTTAAACGAGAAATTTCTGCGCCTTGTTTTCCCATCTTTCATTTCTATTTTGTATCCCTCTTCTATGCTGAGATTATTGTTTTTTAAAATCGTATTTCAGCAGAACACAATGCATCACATGCATAAAGATAGACAGAAGGCTTTTGAAAAATAGCACAGTGAAAATGACACAAAAGCAAATAAGAGCCAGAGAAATATTTTTACCTGATTGCCTTTATGTACGGTGATGAGAACATTTCATCTATGGCTTGTGTTATGTGGGTCATCCTGACTATCTCATGAGAACTCTTTTGGCTAGAAAACTCACAGATCTCAGCAGCCCTTCTGCAGATATCAAGGCAACGCCTTGCATCACCAGACAGTGCTGCTACCTGAAAGTAAACATGACAGGTTTGTAAAATATTTCTTTGCTAAACAATTCTCAGCTTGTAGAATCAATAGGCCAGAAAAACAAACAGGTGGACTGTGTTATGCAAATCCAGATTTGAAACATTCGTCAAAATTTTGATCTTACTGATCAAAAGCAACTCCCCTACACCCACCTTGATCTAGCAATCACTAATTTGAGACTGAACTTTTCTTCTAAAACCACAGAAGGTTAGAAAATCTAGGAAATTCAGCATGAACAGTCTAATTCAAAACTTCTCAGAAACATTTTAAGTAGAGTACTTTAGCACAGTCCACATTCTCACAGCAAAAAAAGCAAAAATTCTGTTTTTCATACACAAAGTAACATTATTTTTAAGAGTTCACTACTACTTGAGATAATGGATTTACACTTGCAAGTGTCCAAAGAACTTTAGGCTTACAAAATTTTTGAAACTAAATACCTCTTAAAATCCCACTTGCAGCTTACAATTTTAATGAAGTTTTCATTAGACCATGCACACATCTCAATTTGAGAAGCTACTGACCCCTAAGGCATTATTTGTTTTTTATACCACAGAGCACACAGACTGGAAACAGAATAGGTTACACTGAGGCCTTGAAAATCTGGAGAAAGACAAAATGAATGTGGATTTTTTCACTGTTACTGCATGCTAGACTTCCCCCACCCCCAAGATCCATCCAATGATTCATTATGCCAAACACTGTAGAAAGCTGACATTGTATCATTAAGTAACCTTCTCAAAGCAGGTGGAAAAAACAGGGACACTGCTTTGCATGTTTGCTGCAAAAATGCCATGCATACCTCAAAGAGAGAACAGTGCAGGATCCACTACTGGTGCCTCACTTTGTCCCCATAGCAGAATGTGCACCCACAGAACTGAGATTACTGTTACTGAATTCTTTCACATCCCCATAATTTTCACCTGGCTCAACACAGAGGATAATATTTGTACTATATTTACCTTTCTGGAAACTAGCTGAATTGCATCCTCCTCAAATGCCTTCACACTGTTCAGTCTAGACGAAATAATTTGCTGTAGCTGTTTGTAGGTGTAAGGCTGAAAGGACATTCTGGTGAGACCCTATAGTAAACAAAATGCAGTGAGAAGTGCTTGCAGTACTTAAACTATTCAAGCATAGCTTGCATTGTTAGTAGTTACAACTTCTGTAGTTGGAGCAGTCTGTTTCATCTGTTTCTCATTCTTCCCCTCCAAGCTTTGATCTTTTTTTTTCTGCTTTGCATTTGTAAAATAAGTATGCACATCCACCAATGAAACAGTTGGAGTGCAGATCACTACCCCAGAAGGGCAGAGCTAGTGGTGCATGCTATTAGAAACCAAGTTCTCTTACAAAATTTGTAAATAAACTAGAGCCACCAATATAAGAATCTTTTGATTACTACTGTTTACACTGACTTTTAAGTACAGTAACAGCAGAATCCACCAAAACTATCCACCTCTTCTTTAGCATGTCTATGTGCATGTATACAGTCACACTGTTGACTTAATGTTAGGCCTGCAAGTCAACAACCAGCAAAGAACTACAAATCCACCTCTGGCTCAAGCTAATAACAACTGATTTCAGATGAGAAGGCCAATGTACAATTTATATATGATGTACTGTCTTTCACATCCTGCAGGAGGCAAAGCTTTACATCCCTTATGAATTCCTCTCCCTTGACTACACGGATTCTCAGAGCTCCAGCTAATCTGCAGGTTCAGTGGGTGGGAAAAAGCAATTCACAGTTACTGTGCCACTGTTTTTGAGTCACAGAAGGATGAAGGCAGAGCACTGTTTTTGCAAATCACTTCTTATGGAAGCACTGAAACAAAGACCTAGGACAATGGATTAAACACACGTATAGAGCACATCCAATTTCCTGACCAAAGGTATTGAACAAAAAATCCACCATCTGATTAGAGCAAACAGAGACAAGTAATCTGTGCCAGAAATGAAAGGGGAAATAGCAAGGGAAAACAGAAGGAAATTTCTCTGAACTCAGGAGTAGCAGCTTCACCACGATGCACAGAATTCAATTATACAAAACTTAATATGTTTAAAAAGACATCTGCCTTCTTTTTCTTAATTCATTCTTACAGGAACAGAGTGTTCTTATCTAGCATAACATCTGACCAGTGAGCTGGCTCCTGTACTTATTTTGCTAAGATTTATATGATCATCTGCCCTATGGAGACAAGAGAGAATTATAATTGTTTATAATTATTTAACTTCTGATGTAACCCACTCTACCTTTCCCTCCCAGTCAAAATTACTTTTGATTGCATGCAGCACTCAATCAGTTTGGTGTTTTTTTTTTTTTGTTTTTTTTTTTTAAGCTTAGCAACCTAATTGTTAGAGGACATACCAGCCTGCTGGATACTCTGTTCATCATTATTCTCTCTGGCAAGTCCATGGTGTTAGCAATGGCCAGGATGATTAACTTGGAGTGCTTTTGAGTCGGCCAGTCAAATAAGTTGTACATCACATTCTGCTTTCGGGTCCACAGAAGATCAAGCTGAAGAAAAAGATAAGAACCTGACTGAAAAAGAATGTCTTGTAACAGTACAACTTACAATGAGGTTTGAGAGTTAGTTCTGCCACAAATCACTTCTCACATAATACTGAATAAGGTGTCTCTCTGCATTTCCTTTGCTAATCTACTAATAGTACTGCATTTTTTGAATTAGAGCTCTAATCTCTCTCTGAAAAGTATTCATTACAAACTTAAGCTGCAATTTTAAACGCTAATGTGATATATTACATCCAACAAAATTAAACTACCTAACCATGCAAAGATCTGAATCATAGCAAAAAAAATAAATTACTGAACACAGTATATTCACAGTTTCAAAACTAGATTTTTCATTGTGAATTTTCTCTCCACAAAAAAAATGCAGCTTCCAGATAAAATACATACTCTGAACAGTTCAATCCCATGCTATTTAGGAGCTGACAGCATTCATTATGCCATAAAACCAACATGAAAATAAAGACAAAGAATTTTGGCAACAGGACTCATCTATTTACATTCAGTTTCCTAATGAGACTAAGAGGAACTATTTGAGTGCCCTCACTCCAAAGTCTTCTTTAGATCATATATGACATGCTCTAAACACAAACTGTTTCTCCATTCTTTAAAAACCTTTTTTTTAAATGATACTTTAGGAAAGATTTAGGATAGAGAAGGAAGGATTCCTTGTCTCACCTCATCCACTACCAGCACTGTGGTCTTCCTCTTTGGTCCAGGTGTGCAGAACAGTTTTGCCAACAGCACTGCAGCATGAGCTGCTGTCACCTTCTGACCTGTCAGTAACTGGACAAGAATTAAATTATACTGCAGGTTAATCACACCAAAACTCTGGAAATAGGCAGTTTAACCCTTTGTATGTTTTAACTTTCAGAAGTATTGATTGTTAGTTGTCTTGAACCCCATAAAACATTGAGGATCTGAACTTCCTCTTCTTTCAAAGGAGGGCAGCTGAGGAGGCTTTTCTCACCTCCAGAATCTGCACATAAGCTTGGTGAGGATCAGTAAGCTTCATGCCATTGATCTCTATGAACTGGAATGATGGTAGGTCATCATCTTCTGTAGCTCGCTGAAGACAGCGAATCACTTCATGAACAGTTGCAGTTTTACCTGTTCCAGGCACTCCAGAAATATACATACACCTACAAAACAGAATGCCTTTTTAGCAGTCTCAGTAAAAGAGTAACACTCTTAGTATCAAGAAATTGGAGTTCCTGGACTCTGAGGTTGCCTTGAATACCTTTCACTCTATGTCTCTTCAGGTAATTCCCTACATGCAGTTACTTCATTGCTAATGAGGACATGTCACACATTAGAATATAAGGTTTGCTGGGTTTTTTTAATTATTAAAGTAACTAACAATCTAAAATACATTAGAAATTCTAATTTTGCTTTGTTAAAAAAAATATTTTCCCAGACATCTAAAACTGACTAGGCATTTCTGTCTTAAATTTGAATTTGTACAATAAAGGAAATATATTTACATGTTATTTACACACACAACAAGCTCTCAAGGAAAAAAAACACGCTGGAAAATTCAACTAGGATCTTTACTTCAGTCAAACAAGGATAGCATTTTAAATAAAAGCAGCCTTGATTGACTGACAGTGCACCATAGGTATGTGTGATCTCAGTTACACAGCCTCACCAATGAACTCACCCTCCTGTGCCATCAATAAGTTTGCTTTCCACAAAGTTATAGATATCCTGGAATTCTTCCTCACGACAGGGCAAAGACTCTGGGACAGCAGAAACGTGCAGCCTTTTGATTAAAGCAAACAAAGGAGTCAAACAAACCGGAGGCCAAAGAGTTGTATTTTCACACATCTTCCTGCAGGGCCTCAAGGGGCAAAGCAGATAGCAGGCCCCTCCCACTTCTTCCCTTCACAGCTCTGTGTAGTTTTTAAATCTGTCTTACATACTTAAGGTTTGAACACCAACGTCAAGTGTCCAAATGAAACAGTCTGGTCTCTCTAGAAGTTTTAAGCTTTTGAGCTTTAAGATGGCTGAACAATCATCATCATCAAATAGTATGAAATGAGGTATAGTAGGGATAAAAAGAGGCGATAGCTTGTAGGATGGTACTCATAGTACCAGTAAAATCTACAAGAGAAGATCTTTGCTTTTATTTTTTTGAGTGTTAGAATAAAGACAGATACCTAACTCTGAAGAATTTAGCACTAAGAACTAGTTACAATGACTTGCAATCATAGAGGTAGTACTATAGCCACCTGTAATTATAGTATTTATTGTCCATTCCTTAGTGTTCCTCTGAAATCAAAATATTACCCATGTTCACTGAATTTATTCAATCTGGTAAAGGTGACATTACCCTATTTTAGCATTTCCTGCCTTCAGTGAATGTTACCTTAATCTGGCTTCTTCCAGTACACTGGTTGGTTTCTGTGCTGCATGGCTGCGCCTGGGAATTTCAGGAGTTGCATTCCGGGGTGTCCTGGGTGTTCCCAGTAAGGGCTGAGAAGAAAAAATTAGGATCTCAAACAGATGTGCTACACACAGGAATTTCTACCAGAAACAGATCATTCATATAAGCCTCTAAAACGCTGATTACACAAACTTCCTGGAGATGTCAAAGTACAAGGTGAAAGGAGGCACGGTGCTTACAGGAAGGAATTGCCAAATTAAGTCTCATGGTCTTTTTCTTCCTTGAGGAGACAAAGAAACCAGCAAGCAAAATAGTGACACAGACAACTTCACCTTTTGATTTGCTGAAATATTTTAAATATTTTTATTCTATGTTCTGTAACTCAGTGTTCCAAAGTGACCTGGTTCTCAAGAAAGAGCAAACAACTAGAAACTAATGATCTGTATTTCACTGTCCAAACAAAAAAGCCACGCAGTATCTTATATATTCTTCCTCACTGTGCCTACAAGCTCTAGTTGTGCTAGGATTTCTGTGTTACACTTTACATAAACAGAGGCCGATTTTAATTAGCCCCTCACAAATATCCCCATCCCAAGCCCAGTGGCTGTGACACTATGAGAAACTGCTGGCCATACTGTCTTTAGCACAGCCATAGACACTGCACAGCATTCCTTCTGTGCTGGTAGCCATCAGCACAGTCCTGAACTTACAGCTTTCTGCAATATATGAAGATTGCACTGACCAAAGACTATTCAGAAATGGATCATTCTTGGGTACTTAAGTCAGTTGTTCACTGAATTCACATAATATTTGTACAGTAAAAGTACTGCTTGCCCAAGAACTGCACAAGTCTAACTACTCACTGAATAACTGACTAATTGCTTTTAATCATAATTCCTACCAGGTTTATTTGAGAGCCTGTAGATTATACTGGGAGAGAAAAACAGTTTCTGCTCCACTCTTCCACCACTTGTGACTTCACACACCTACCCTTTATCTCCTCCCACACTGTCTCATTTTAAGATTCATAATTCATGTACCGCTTTCAGTAGTTTCTCACGTAGAAACGAATCCATCATTTCATTATCTCTTGCCTTCCTTTGAGCCAGCATGGAGCTTATTTTTTTTTTTTCTTGAGAATAGCGGTTGAGAAACGCAGCACCATTCAGGTGTTTCAAACAGTTTCCTCAAATCATCTTAAAAAAACAAACAACTAATTATACCCTAGGGATTCTTCTCTTGTAAAGCTGCCCAGTGATTCACACAAGACTTTCACTTATGTATCACTAGTAGATGATCTGAATCCACAGCCTAAGAACTACTGATTCAGGACATGCTCATGTTCTTCCTCCCTTCCTAATTCTCTCCCCTGTCCTTCCTCAAAGCAAGCCAAGACATTACAGCCACATAACAAACAAACCAACCCAGCACATTCAGCAGTTACTGGTCAGCTCCAGCCTAATCCAGCCTAATTCCTTTGCTTAGGCTGGAGAGTTTTCTGATCAACACTGTTGTAACATTGAGGATAACCAAGTACTGTATTTTCATAACTTAGTCATACTGAAAATCATACAACCGTTTCATCTAAAGCATGGGAGCTCAGATACTTAACTTTGGCATACAGGCATTGAGCATTAAAAAAAAAAAAAAAAAAAAAAAAAGGATTAGAAACAATAAAGAAAACTTTTTAAAATGTCAGCAGCTCTAAGGAACCTTACTGTTTTCCTTGGGGTCTTGGCAGGAGTGTGAACTGAAGGCTTCCTTGAAGATTTTGGGGTGCTGAACATTCTGCTCAATTTGGTTTTCTTCTCCGGTGTGCAGCCCACATCACTATCTTCTTCCTCACTACTTGAGGAGTAAGAACCATCCGAGCTAGACAGAAAATCCTCTGCCTCCTTTGATTCTAGCATGTTTAATAAGCTATCAGAAAGAAATGACAGAAGTTTTGTTTTGTTTTTTTTTTTGCCCTTTTTTTTTTTTTAATAAACTACATATCACTGCTCACTACAGTGTCATTTGATACATTTTCAGTTCTTCCTGTAAGGTGCCTATAATCAGCAAGTCAAGTTATTCTCCACTTCAACCATTAATTTTCCATAGCTATTTAACAGACAAGTATTAAAGGAAGTCAGCTTAACGTTTCTTAATATAAGACAGTTTTTACCCACTCTGCAATATTTGTATTAAGCCATACAAACTCTTGAGGCTTTGAGGTGTCAAAAACCATTTGAACAAGATTGCATGAAAGCAAAAGTTCACCTGATTTGTTCTGCAATGCGAGTGCTTGTCTCCTGTGTACACTTCCTACGAGAACGAGGGGTCACCGCTGGGCTCTGACTCCCCAGCTCCTTATGTCCAGTTAAGCTGTAAAGAACACAGAGCTACTTTTATCTGGACCACACTTGTAAGGATGGAGAGGAAGCCCTTTAAACTTCAGGCTCTACTGTTAAGCCTGTGAACTCAATGCAAATACAAAAATAGTTATGAAAATACTGTTACTTACACTATAGCATCATCTTCCATATTAAGATTCTTGACTTTCTCATTGGAGTCTTCAACCTTCCTATAAGGGGACAGTCTTAGCGTATCACTAAACATCTCCCGGTGCTCTGCTGTACCAAACACTGACTCCAGCTTATCATTGGCACAAGCTATTTTTGGTGGCGAGCTTAGAATTTCAGTGAATTTCACTTTTCTTTTAATAGCTGTTGGCTTTAACAGTTGAGAATCATAGACATCATCTAAAAGTTCCAAAACATCCTCTTCCAGGAGTTTGCCTTTTGAAGATCTTGTGGGACCTAGGAATGAAAAGCAAGATTTTGTCAGGCTTTAACATGGATGGTTTGAGTTAGAAGTTTCAGGGAAGACAGTAGTTTCAGAAGACACTGTATGACTCAGAGCTGTAATTTAAATGAAACGTGATGGCATTAAGCTTTGTGGACAGAAAACTGAATTACTGGAAAGCATGCATTCCCTCTATGAATACAACAACATAGTAGAAAAGTGAAAAATCAGGATCTATCACTTCTAACTTCACTCAGCTTTCAGTTTGAATATACGGTCCAAATGTGTTCATTCAGTCAATCCAACGTAAACCTTCTTGTATACCATTAGCCAGAAAAGTAAGGAAAAATAAGGCAGACATTGTGAGGTCAAGATGGAGTCACAATACTACATCCAAAACAACCAAATGGACAGCATACACATACTGACATATACGTACTGCTCAAATCTAACTTCTTTCTTGCAGTTGGATTTTTGGTGCCATTATCTATTCTTAGCGAATGTCTCTTCTTAGAAAGGGAAGACTTAGAAGCAGAATGTTTTGATTCTATTTCCATCTCAACATTTTTTGTTTTTGGGGCACTCCAAGCAACCTTCTTGGTCTCTTTTTTCGCAGAGGAAGTGATCTCCGAAGGAACAAAAGAGCTGGAAGAGTTTGGGATGCCATCTCCTTTCTTGTTAGCTTCATTCAGCATAGAGAACGTGTCTGGGGACAAAACCCTAAAGCATTTCCCATCCCAAGACTGTTTCACGTAGAAGATTTTCTCCTTTTTTAATCTAGTAGGTAGTTCATCCTTCAGACGCAGTGGTATTACCTGAAAAAGGAGAAAAAAATACCAACACATGCATACTGCTGATTTAGCATTCAACCGTTTTCTCTTCACATATCTTACGGTTGGAACTCATGGAGCTTCATTAGAAATGGCAACAAGCTCAGCCTACAAAACAATTGGCACAGTGTTACCCTGGTACAGGCCCTGTCAAACCATGACAGGCCTCCATCACATTACTTCCTTCCATGCAATCCTCTAGATGGGCTGGCTGCCCATAACCAAAGTCATTTGGGGATGGAAGAAAGGAGGAGTACTGAGTTTTCAACCATCCTGCACAACTTCACTAGCAATCAAATGCACCTTGCACGTTCAGTTCAGGAGGAAGTGAAGCAGCTGCACTGTTCTGTTTTTCAAATTGCTTGTTTCTTTTTTCCCTCTGCATGTAGATAGGCTGCAGTACGTACCAGCACACTTTCGATGATAGTCTCCACAGCTATGTCAGTGTCATAGCCAGAAACTAGATCAAAAAACACTTCCTGGGAAGAAATCCTTCTTTTAAGCAGTTTCTGCTTATTCTTAGGTACCTCTGTAATGTGAGTGAACCACTGCACAACTGCATGCTTCTGCTGAGCGCCTACAAATGAAAAGAAAATGAACACTAAGGATTCTCTCATGCCACAAATAGTTCTTACCCGACCTTGGTGACTTCAACTAAAATACTGCACAAGACACTTTGCATTTACGTACTGGAAAGCAGTGTTCTTCCTTAACTTTTTACTGAGAAAAAAGTTAGAAATTTAGAAAAAAAGAGGATGAAAAATTTTCCAGATGAATGAGGGAGATGAATTAGCTCTAGGTCAAACAAAGTTAAGGCCAAAACTAGAAACTGAGAAATGATGCAGAAGTTACAGCTCTCATAGCTCTGGCAAGAAAGTATGCAGACAGTTCTATACTATCAGCAATGTAAATACTTTAGAAGAGTGACATTTAATAACATCAAAGCTCAGGATTCCAATTCATCACTACTGCAGTACTACATTAAGGGCACCACAGCTGTGCCACTGGTTACTGGATGGAACTGCACACTTCTGGTGAACCACAGGGATACCACAGCCACGTTGTTCAGCGCTCGCTAGACAGACGAGGGACAGTCAGGGAAAAGTTTGGGCACTACAGCACTTGCTGGGAGTGACTTGGATTAATTTAGAGAAAGATTAAACAACCTGATCCTGGGGAATTTCACTGAGAATTTGAATTTAAAGTGCATCTTCCATATAGTTCAGTCAAACAACTAAAGCCTGTTCTAAAGAGAGCTGTTTCTAAAGAGCTTTTATTTTGAAATGTCACATAACAAGTACCTAAGTGCTTTACTCTGGGAGTCAGTCAAGTGTGCACACAAGTAAATTTACAAATGTATGTAGCTATGTAAATGTTAAGAAAATGCCAGCCTTATTTCTTAGAACCCATGCAAGCAGGCTCTTTGTCCAGGAGTTCCACGAAACTCCCATATCTGTTCCCTCCTCACACACTGGGAAATTCAAAACAAAAATGCCTAGAAATGAGCCATCAAGGATAAAAATCCGACATGGACATAGGTGAGAAAGTAACTGATATGAGACTGTAAGTCTGAGTTGATGATTAACTGATGTCATTGACGAGTTGATATCTGAATTGAGACTGTCACAGCTTACAATGATACCTATGCCAAGCCTCAAATCACAGAATTCATTTAGATCAGCTAATCTTTTTCACACAGAGGGTGGTGACACATTGGAACAGGCTGCCCAAGGAGGCTGTGGATGCCACATCCCTGGAGGCATCCAAGGCCAGGCTGGATGTGGCTCTGGGCAGCATGGTCTGCTGGTTGGTGACCCTGCACACAGCAGGGGGGTTGAAATGAGATCATCTTTGTGATCTTTCTCAAGCCAAGCCATTCTGTGATAATCTAATATTTCACTGTCACAAAAGAAGAGGTTCCATATTGGCATTCATGCAATCTAACTGAACTCCACTAAGCAGTGGACATAAAAGGAGAACTGAGAAGTTTCATAACATTACTGCTAATTTCAGGGTTATTTTAAAGATCAACCGGAAATGTTTGCTCACTGACTAACGAACCAGAGAATCCTGCTGTGAAATACCAGAGAAGAAAGACTGAATAAACAGCATGAGAAAGTTCCTCATGGATAGAGTTAAAAGAAATTTAGAACATAATACAGTTTTTATGCTCCTATTCATATTTTAAGGTGTTCATATTCAAATGAAAACAAAACCAAGCATCTTTAACGACTCTGTCAAAGACATGGAAAACCTTTTCAAGAAAGATTGACAAATTTCAGTCCAGCATGAAAAGAATATTCAGTTGTTACAATAAACGTGCATTACAAATACGCATCACTCTGTGTATTTTTGTTTTGAATGAGAAAACCCACAAAATATTATCAATGCAGATCAAAAGAAACAACAGCTGTTGAAAGAAATGAGGCTTAGCTAATGAATAGTTTCTCATTCAGACTCTACGTAGCCTTTGTGCCACTTGCCTGCCATGACTTATCATTTATATCATATCTACCTCTACCTACAAATAAGCAGTATAAGTAGTACAAATAAGAGACAGAAGTGACGAGCCTATTTATTCAGCTGTGTATGTTACACTGAAATCCTTGGTGTCTAATAACACGCAAGTCTCAGAGCTGCAGTACTCTTGTTCCAGTGGGATTCTCCAATATCTAAACGAAGCAAGAGCTCACGTTGCCTTCCTCGAGGACTATTTCTTCTAGAAGTAAACAAGTAAGCAAAAGATAGTGCCTTTTAAAGCCTTTCAACTGCATTTAGCTATCCAATTTAGATGAAATCAGTACCAAATTTTTAGGTAGAACTTGCATACACAAGCAGTGATCAGCACAGTCCCGTTCCTGTAATAATTTAGAGCAGCAATACAGCATTAATGCTAATCACATCCCCATGGTATAGTTATCTTTAAAGCATTTTAAGATTCCTCATGTAGGAGGTGAGTTTTTATTTCTTACCATCTTCGTACAAATCCAGGAGTTGTGCCACAAAAGGTTGATCTGCATTCTCCCCTTCTATTAGAACAAAGTCACCAAGCTGTATACATCTTTGTGTTTTGCTTCTCTCCGATTTGATAAGAATTCCTCTAGAAAATGATGCAGACAGTTCAACATCCTTTACAATTCACATGCCATCAAATCTGACCTCCTGCCCAACTTAAAGCCACTTATAGCCCCTCCAACAAAGACTGAAGTTTAAAAACAACAACAAAACTTCCCAATTAAAAACCTTCACTTGTATTTTGAATAGGCAGTTAACACTTATTTACAGATTATAATTAAGTGCTTATGCTCAAACATACAATTTACATTTCAAGAGCTTTATGACAACACTTTTTGTGGTACGCATACAGTGTCATGACAGGTATGACAAAACTACTGTTATTTAGTAATATTCTCACAGCCCAATTAACCTAAGTGACACCAAAAAGGCAAAGCAAGTGTCACTGCTTACTGCTTACGTCCCCCTGAGAAAAACAGAAATAAACTAAAATAATAAAATAATAATAAAACTAAAAACTAATAAACAGAAAAAAACTAAAGTTTTTTACTTGTACTGCAGAGTCCTCAGCTTTCTGTCTGAGCTCATGGGCTTTCCATACCAGGAATAAATGATTTTGCTCTGCTGACCTGTGTCCATGATTCCTGAGGAAAAGAATAAGCACATAAACGAGCAATTATCGCTTATAGCTTAAAAATAAGAGGGGACAACACTCAAGTTTTCCAGACGGCGTGATGGCCGTCAGTCCCCGATTCCCCCAAGCGGTGCAGATTAAGACGTAGCCCCAGCTCCCAACCTCAGTCCCCGCCCGCCGCTCGCGTTAAACCCCCGGGGTTAAACCCGCCCTGAGGGCCCCCTTTTCCCTGACAATGCCCTCGCACACCGAAGGCCGTTTGAGCGCTTCTCCTCGCTGGTTTTCGCCCATCTCCCACGAACGCAGCGGGTGAAACAGTCGCGCACGCTTCATCTCCCCTCCCTCTTCCTTTTTTGGCCTCAAAGCCGCCGTCCCCATGGTTGCTTTCCTACCGCCAAACAGCCCGCGTGGCCATGGCGCCGGACGGGGTCGAACCCGCAGAGACCCCGAAGCGCCCTCACAGAACGAGCAACCCAGCCAGCCAGCCGCCCGCCCGCTGCCCTGCTCACCGCAAAACCTCAGCAATCCCCGCGCACAGCAGCAGCACCAACGGTAGCGCCGCGAGCTCCCGCCACCCCCGTGATAGAATTTCGCGCCAAAGCCCACCCGCAGCCCCGCCCCCTCCGCCGCGCGTGCGCACAGAACGGAGAGGACGGGAGAAGGTAGCCGGGCGGTGCCTCCATATTTGAATCTGGAAGGGGTACCGGAAGTGATGCTCTGCCCGAAAAGAACGTGGCGGGGTGGGGGACAGGAAGCGGAAGTTGTTAGTGTTCCTTGCGGAAGTGGGGTGAGTGTATTTGCCGCCGTACGGAGGGGAGCCGGGGGCGGCCGCCATGGCGAACCGCACGGTAAAGGATGCGCACAGCATCCACGGCACCAACCCGCAGTACCTCGTGGAGAAGATCATTCGTACCCGCATTTACGAGTCCAAGTATTGGAAAGAGGAATGCTTCGGCCTCACGGGTATGGCGGGCTGGGTCGGGCGGGGAGTTCGAGGGGAGGCCGGAACTGATGGCTGTTCATCTCGCAGCCGAGCTGGTGGTGGACAAGGCCATGGAGCTGAAGTACGTGGGGGGCGTCTATGGCGGGAACATCAAGCCCACGCCTTTCTTGTGCCTGACGCTGAAGATGCTGCAGATCCAGCCCGAGAAGGACATCATTGTGGAGTTCATAAAAAATGAGGACTTCAAGTAAGTCTGTAGCACATTTCCTTGCCTTGAGCTCTTTTGCTTGTAGAAACGTGGATGTCCCGAACTGCCAGGGAAGCTCCAGGGCAGGGTTCAGCTTCCTGTACACAAACCTCTGTAAATGTGCTCTTCTTGCTAAAGCCTGGCCTTACTCTTGCTTTCCGAAGGCTTGTTCCTCTTGTTGCTGGGCTGCTGAAAATATTCGCCTTTATGGCTTATGTTCTCTGCAGTAACGCAGCCTGAAGTACTGGGAATGAGGTGCATTAATGGAGCCATAATCACCTACTTTCTCTAAAGTGTTTCTTTAATCTTCTGGGAGTGATAATGCAGCTCTGCACATATAAACAACCTGTACTGGGATGCTGCACGTGCTTGAGTATTTGAAGGAGAAGATCCATACAGACACTCTTTATTGTAGGGTACTGTTTTTCTCATAAAATTCTGGGAATGATTTTTCTTTGAACTGCTGACTGTGCAGAAAGCTCAGGTATGTGCAATGGTTTACTTTCCAGGTATGTCCGAATGCTTGGTGCATTGTACATGAGATTGACAGGCACAGCTATTGACTGCTACAAGTATCTTGAACCACTGTACAACGACTATCGAAAAATAAAAAGTCAGAACAGAAATGGGGGTAAGCAACCTTATGTGGTTATGGTTTCTCAGTGCATTATTGGCCTCTTTAACAGGTGTTTCTTTTAGAAAAATATTCTCTTTTAATAATGCATAAGTTAAAAAATGGAACACAACTATCCTTTTAAAACACCACTTTTACTAACTTATCCTTGTGATATCATGTTGTGAGTCTTGTACAAATAAGAACTGCCTTTCTTATTTTGCTTTCCCCAAGTGCTGGCGTTTTCTGTTGACACTGAAACTCAACTCCATATATATCAAAGAAACATACTACTGGAGTGAGTTTATGCACTGGGCATCTGCTATTAGCTGTGCTGCAGTTTCTCCTTTCTACAAGACAGGCCTAAGGATTTCCTTCATCATTAAGAAAAATTTTAAAGCTATTGTTTGTGCAGCTCCTTCAGCGAAGTCCAAAGTATCTCATTTGTATAGTATTAACCATGTATTTAAGATGCTATTTTTTTCCCTCTAGAATTTGAACTGATGCATGTGGATGAGTTTATTGATGAACTGCTCCATGAGGAACGTGTGTGCGATATAATTCTGCCTCGATTGCAGGTTTGGAGAAACAAATGGTCTTAACTGCATCATATTCAGTAGTTGTATCAGCTACTGGCATAGCACACTAGTTGAATGAAGCTATGATTAAGAATCTTTGGGCATGTCAGATGCCTCTTTGGTGCTTATGTTATATATAGCCCAAGAATAAAGTCGTATTTTCTCCTAGAAACGATATGTTCTGGAAGAAGCTGAGCAGCTTGAACCTCGTGTTAGTGCTCTGGAAGAAGATATGGATGATGTAGAATCTAGTGAGGAGGAAGAAGAGGAAGATGAAAAGGTTAGTGACATGTTTTAGAGGAAAAGGTAAAGCTAGTGCTGGAACTGCCACAAACTGTGTGGGTTTGTGAGAAATATTTGAGAGATCTCAGCTGTTTGCAACTATCAGCTCCTCCCTTAATGGATTTTCACATAAGCTGCCTGTGAGAACACTTTAGATCCTGAAGCAGCTCTGAAGTGTTGTCTGTCAGGCTTTCCTGCCTGCTGAAAATCCCAGCTCTGAATCTCTTTTGTGCTACCTAAACATGTTTTAGATAAATTATTTTATCTATCTATTATTTTACATAGCCAACAAGTAAAGATGGTGAAGGTTATGATGACAACTGTAGTCAAATCTGCTGCGCTATTTAAGAATCAACAGTATGAAAGCAGCCATTTTAATTTCCAGTTACCAAATTTGGGCAGTATCACTCATACAGGAATATGAAATATTTGAAGAATACAAGGCTTGCTTTCTGTTGACCCTGAAACTCAGTTCCATATATATCAAAGAAACATACTACTGGAGTGAGTTTATGCACTGGGCATCTGCTATTCTTAGCTGTGCTGCAGTTTCTCCTTTCTACGAGATAGGCCTAAGGATTTCCTTCATCATTAAGGAAAATGTTACTGGATGGCTTATCTCCTCTTTTTTCACTTAGATTTATCATTCAGAATTCCTTGTTATAAATAAAACCTCGATGAAAGACTTACAGAACCTTTTTCCCCCGCTGTTCCCAGCTGGAGCGAGTACCATCTCCTGATCACCGCAGAAGAGGCTACAGAGACCTTGACAAACCTCGCAGATCTCCAGCTATACGATACAGGCGGAGCCGAAGCAGGTCTCCACGAAGGTGAGACGTGGCTCCTTTTCAGCAATATTTTTACCTGTTGTGCTGCAGAGGGCTGCAGTGAAGCACGAAGGAGATGATGACAATTTAGGCCCAGAATCTCTTGCACTTTCCACGTTCTTTAGCCACTTCCTAAAGTAAGGAGCAGTGCAGTCACAGTTGACATCTGACTGTTTCCCTTGATCTTCAGTAACTGTTAAACTTGCTGGCCACTGTTAGCTAAATCTGATAATAGAATGAAGATACTAAGGGGAACAAAGTGCTTGTTTCCATGTAAGCTGAAGTTTTGAGAGAAAATCCAGTTACTGTTCCTCCTGGTAGCAAGCCAGAAAAGAATCATCACTTAACCCTTCTGCTCAATGCATGGGCCAGACCAAAGCATGTACTGCCCCTTGTGCATCAAGCCCATCAACTGCTACTGTAGGCTATAGGAGAGCGTAGGATGCAGTTGCTAGAGTGTATAGGGAATGAAACTGGTGGTTCTGTTACTATTTTTAATGCTGCTTTTCTCCCTCAATTACAGGCGAAGCCGCTCTCCAAAGAGAAGAAGGTAGTCTTTTATTCTGTTACTTTATGTTAAAATGTATGTTTGTAGCATGGCTGTCTTAAAAACTTCTTTCCTCTCAGTCCATCACCACGCCGGGAGAGGCATCGCAGCAAAAGCCCACGACGGCACCGGAGCAGATCCAGGGAGAGGCGCCACAGATCAAGATCTAAATCTCCAGGTATTTCTGTAGTTTTTAAATTAAGCTGGCTTTTTTTTTTAACCAGACGACATCTACTGAAAGAAAAATCAGTGTCATAGCATCAAAAGGTAGTTTACATGCTTAATCTGGTTTATAAAGTGGTTAATTATATGAAAGTGTTGAGAACTGCTCCAATACTCACAAAATTGCCTGGGTACACTTTTCAGATACTTGGCAGGAGGTTAATTTGAATGCCTAATTAGCTAGGACAATTAGAAGCAGATTGCAAGAGCAAAAGAAAAAAGACCTCCAGGGCCTATGGAAGTAACTTTGGTTTTTTTCTGTCTTACAGGACATCATCGTAGTCACAGACACAGAAGTCATTCCAAATCACCTGAAAGGTATTATTTTATGGCACATTTCTTAAGGATGGGTGTTTGGTTGTAAGAGCTTGTGCTTGTCATTGAATCTTGGGGATTGAAGGTCTTGGTAAATGAAGTATTTGATATGGTACTTCATTCAGTGTTTTCTAGTTACTCTATCCACACGTGGCTGTGTAAAACACCACTTATTACTGTAATTCATGTTGTTTGTCTAAAACAGTCACTAGAACTGTGACACATAACTGTTCTCTCTTTCAGATCTAAGAAAAGTCACAAGAAGAGTCGTCGAGGGAATGAATAATGAACTAATGTCAGCACACAGTTCAGTCTAATACTGTCCTATTTGCTTTATGGGACAGCTGAATATGCACTGGCTGCTTTAGCAGTCATTTTTAATCCTTTTCCTCTTGTACACGTGTTGTTTTTGTGGGGGGTTTTTTGTTGTTTTTTTAGTTAAAGCTGAAGTTGCTTTTACTTTCTAGTCCTTATGATAAAATCTGAAGGTAGTTTATAAATTGTTTTTCTTGAGGCCTGTAAAAAAAACAGTGAAGAGCAATAAAATAGGGTTTTGTCTTTGAAGGCTCTTTCCTGTTTCTTTTGTAATCTTTCACTGGGACTTCTAATTGAAACTGGCTTTATTCTCAAAGCTTTGTTCTGACTAACATGCTGCGTTCCATTGCTAAAGTGTGAATATGCGTAAGTCATAAACACTGAAGAACTACAAGCCTAAACTCTGTCAATGAGCCTCCGGTACAGGAAAGGAAGCAGCACCACCAAAATCTAGCATGGGTTTAAGTTAG